GTGTTATCAGCCTAGGAATGTTTTCTGTATTTGCATCACTGGTGTAAACAGGAGAGGGGCTGGGAGAATTCAAGACAAACCAGAGTCAAAGTCGAGGGTTTGCATAACTGTCGAGAATTCTTTCAACCCCTTAAGTGTTTATGTCAGGCTACGCAAACCCAGGAAAAAGGTTTATATTGCTTTTATAAAACAACTTTTGAGAAAAAAAAGAAAAATTCTTTGCTTATGGAACTGATTAAAGGAGAAATATTTTTACCAGTCGCAAAGTGTTGTAGATGAAGTTTTGTACGCATAATCAGTTCCCATTTTGCAAAAAATATGCTTTTTGAAATACAAATTTTCCTTGCTTAAAATGTCAGCTTATGTGAAAAAAATTGACACAGCAAACAGTGTAATTGTAAAGATTTTCCAAGTTTCAGCCAACAAGGAAATGGGTAAATAAACTAAACTTGTCAAGTTTTCACCCCAAAACCTTTTTCATTTGTGCTTGTGTGATAAACGTGCCCACAGCAAAGCATATGAAGTCACAACTGTGTTTACAAACTCTAGCTCATGCAAACACGCCTCTCCTCCGATCAGAGCATGTGTACTATATTATCTTAGTTATTTTATAAAAATGAATAACAACAGGCCATATGTACGCTCAACAGGTTAAAACTTACAGGATCTTGTGTTGTACAGGCACCATAAAGCTTGATAATGCTGGGATGGCTGATACGAGACAACTGCTGCACCTTTAGGTAAATAATTGTAAATATTAATATCACTACAGACACTCTTGTGAATACAGTCATAGAAAAACTCTTATAGGAAACCAAAGCACTAGTATAAATGCTATATTATAACAAAAGTGCTGGAGACCTTCTTATTGTGATAGTGAAGTATTTTCTAGATAAATTATACAATTAAAACCTGTCGTCTACATGCTAAAATCTCTCTGCTGTTGTTTGTTGACATAATAGCTTTCATAAGTTGTAATAAAAAGTATAGTATTATTATATAATTTATTTAAAAAATAACCTTCCTACAAAGATACAAATTTTAAAAGTGATGAAAATCCACGAGGTTAACACTAATGATAGTAATACAGTAAATGATTAATGTCAATATCTCTTGGATTTTCTTCACTTTTAATCGATATTTGTCTCTTAGTAGGAACGTTATTTTTGTCAGCAGTAGTATTCACCAGTGCAGTTTATCACATGTATTAACTTCACAAACAATGGTGTTTGTCCAAAAAACAAAAGATCCTTGCAAGGTATCAAGAAACTATAGCACTGACAAACAGTTTTTTAAAAAAACTAAAGGCAGGCTGAGGTTGCTGGAAAATATTTCTTGGTAGAAAAATAGTAGACTACAGTTATCAGACAGTTACCTCAACAATAAAAGCTTTCTTTTCAGCTTCGGTTTCAATGGCCTTAACAGCAACAATGAACTTGTTTCGAAACATTGCTTTGGATACAACCCCAAAGGCACCTCTTCCTACAGTCTAAAAAATAATGTACAAGACAAAGAACAGATTTGATAGCCTAAAGGATAGTATCGCAAGAATTCTCTAAGGTCTGGGTAAACTATGCAAGATTCTCAAATTTGAATAAAATACACTGTAAAGAGGACCAAGTGGTGTAATAAAGAAAAACCAAGGGGTGGGGTATCACAAAGAACCCTTAGAAAGAAAATTTGTCAGGGATGGGGAGGTCTAAATGGTCCCTCTAAGTGGGATATAGATAGCGGGCAAAGCAGGTGTTAATTTTTTTTTTATTACAGAAACCTCAGAGGTATGTTGATCACTGTAAAAACTAAACTGAAGGAGGTGGGGTGTCAACTAGTCCCATGAAATTATTTTCCGATTCGCCTCAACTCTCTGTCAGTTTCATTGTCCAAGAAGGTGGGAGAGCATTCGTCAAAAAAAAACATGTATCATCGTTTACATTACAAATCCATATAGGATACGGCCAGTTTCCGGGACCACAAAATGAAGCCTCTACAATTTTCAAAAATAAAAATGAATTTTTGCTCATAAATTTGGACTTTTTTATGTATATTTTAGCAACACGCAATTTCCCGCATTTTAGTCAAAAGAAACTGAAAAATTGCAAATCTTTAATTATTGCCATGAGATGAAAATAAAAACAAAAAAGGGCTTTTGAATTCAATTATCCCTCTTCTTCTAATATAATAATTATATTAGAAGAAGAGGGATATACACCAACTCCAAAACAATTATTGACATTATTGGAAATCTGGGCATCTTTGACCTTCGAAATCCAGTCAGGAGGAGGTGCATTGATCCAGCAGTATTAGAAATCTGGAGAGTTGGTGGGAGGGGGCATGACCCAAAACCCTGCCATTCATTTAGTGCAGGATGTGAATTTTTTCTGCTCAGAATACAACAATGCCTGAGAAACCAGTTGACATTTTATGACCCCACCACTGGTTTCCCTGTGAAATGACTTCTGAGCAAAGACTTCAGAAATTCCATACTGATGAGGCATCACTACCCAGATCTGGCTAGTACTTCTGATTGATGGAAGGAAATTTCTCTTGTAGTACAATCAATCAGTAACCCAACCCAGATCGAGTATTGCCACGTCATCAGTATGGAATAATATTTATTTCTTCAGTCGTTTCGTGGGGAAACAGCTGCAAAGTCACAAAATGTTGGCTGTTTCCCCAGGCTATGCAAAGCATCTACATCTACATTTACATTCATAACTTGCAAGATCCTGAATAAGAGCATTTGGCATGTGCATACACCTGTAAGTCTGGGGTTTCATTGAGAAGTAATGTAGAGCAGAAAAGGCAGCATTGGGTAAGATTTCGATACAGCCCCATAAAATACAATACATGCAGCAATTTCAAACTATTTCACCCAAATAGTGAATATGAATAGGGTCGAAACATGTATGCATCATAAATGTATGGGACTGTACAGAAATCTCACCTACTATTGTGTTTCAGTGAGATTTACATGCCCTGTAATGAAGGTATCGATTTTATTTTTCGCCTATGTGAAAACCCAGTAAGCTGCCATGCTGTAGAACATTAATAATTATGTTTGATTCACACACACTACACACACTATACTTTATTTCATACACATCATTTTGCCATCTGATTTCGTGAAACTATCAAAATTTGTCTCTGAACCGTGATTAAGACACTTAAAAATTAAATAAGTTTTACAAATTGGCGACATAAAAGCTACATAAAAGGAAGTTCTCTATGTGTATCAGTATGTACCTCGATATACTCCAATTCAGAACTATCAATCTCCTCCACAAACCCTGGTGGTGAATCTGGCTGCAAATCTTCTTCCTCCATTTCAAATTGTTTTTCCGTCCTCTATCAAGGGGCAAGCTTCGATTATCAACGAAAAACGTCCACTGTTACTGGCGTTTTTCCTTCAGAGCTCAATCGATTAGAGTTTTCTACACTGTAGGTCCAAAAGATCCGACGTTCCAGGGAAACTCCCTCTCACACTTCCGCTCGCGTGGTTTCACAACATTGACTGGAGCTTAAAACTGTCTCCAAAAAGTTCAGAATTAAAGATTTACGACTATGATCACCTTTCTCGAGGTTTCAGTATCTCTGTAATCGCAGTCAACTCAATATAATGTCGTTTTCCAGTAAGGAAAACAGAAAGTACTACTCATGTGACCGCTGCCATGTTTGTTTGAATCAAAGCCAATACATATCCCGTGATGCAATGCAAAATAAGCGCGCCAAAGAGCATGCTCAAATCAGTTTTTCAACGGATGCCTTGACACTTCGATTAAATACAGTTATTTCTCCTCGAGAATTTTGTTTTTCGATATATAACTAGGTAAGTCTAAAACACAGAGGTATGTAAAGGTGGAAAGAAAAAATTAGAAGGACATTTAGGCAGAACGTGTGGTCGAATTCGGCTAATTTATTGTTCGATGTGTTGACACATTGTCGACCCCAGGTGGTTCTGTCAATTTTTTTTTCTTGCCTCAACCTACCAATGTGTACTTTGGTTTGTATATTTCTGGTTAATTAAGCCACAAGTAATGTTTTGTTTCGTTTTTTGGTTGAAGGTACAAGGAGAAAAATATCTTCAATTCAGTTGATTTAGTAATCTTGTCACTTTAAATATATTTCATGTTGTTTTTATGTCTCAGAAACACTCCTCTCTCCACTGCCAGCTGTAGATATAAATGTCGTTATCAAGGTTGACGTTTAGAATTAAAATTGGGGTTCCATTACTAAACTTTCATTCTGAGGGCCATTGCTCTTAATATCCACCACCATCCCTCCCCCAAATTGATGAAATGTTTTTGGTGGCACCGATTCAGGAAATTCTTTCCTATTGTAGACCCCGTCAGAAATTAATGTTTATTCTTAGGGACTGCTTACATGGAGGAAGGAAGATCGTAGCACCAGGAAGATCCTATAAGGAGGATCATCCTTGTGCCATATTTTTTCTGTATTCTGTTTGCATGCAAAAAGTTGTACCTGTCCTAGCGCTAGGATCTTCCTAGATGAGAGGCAGGAAGATCCTAGTATTAGAGACAAACCAGACAAAAATGGCAGCTAGTCGTTTAGTAGGTTAACTTTAGTATTTAATTTCTTCTCTACTGTTAACCACGCGGACCAAAATTTCTGCATGTGAACCCAACAAAAAGTTGTTCCACCTTCTAGGATCTTCCTGTTGGTAGGATCTTCCTCCCTCCATGTAAACAGCCCGTTAGAAGCCCTCAGGAAAAAGCCCTGAGACTCGTTTCTTTTACATCCTCATCATCTAAGATCTGTAAAAGAAACAGCTTTGTTAAACTATAACAGCGAAGATTGGCATTTTCAAGTAGCAATGGTAGAACAATCTTCTCAGTAATAATGATAATTATGATACATCTTTTTTATCAAAATAAAAACCAATCAGCTGTTCATTGAAAACAGGCTGGTGGTACTGACTGTTGTAAATTCATGGATACTTTTGAAGTTAACATTAAATAATATTGTATTCTTGTGTGAAGGAAATGAGTCTGGCTGAAATCTGTGAAAATGCCAAGATGGCGAGGGAATATGCTCTTCTTGGTAATTATGACACATCGCTGGTGTATTACCAAGGAGTCATCCAGCAGATACAGAAGCACATCCAACAACTTAAAGATGATGCCATCATGAAACAAGAATGGCATCAGGTGGGTTGCCTGTTTATTGTGTTAGAAAAGTCACCTACATTAAAAATAGTGGAGGCCCGCTCTTGAGTTATTTCATCTGAAATTTCATCAGATGTAATACATATAAAGCAATGAACAGGATAGCCGAAGCTTCTTTGTTGAAAAATATTGCTTGTAGAACTACTACCACTACTACTACTACTTGGAAGGTTTTGTTGGCTGTTTTGTAACCATAAACATTACTAATTTTTTGGCCTCATTCAAAGGTGCGTCAGTCGATCGTC